CTGTTTGAAGAACTGGTATTTGGTCTATGCATAGGTTTCTAATGAATACATCTAAGTGTTCTTGAATTCCCCTTTTCTTAATGTTTGCCATAATGTATTATGATCTACACGATCGCATGCCTTTGCACAATCAGTAAAACACAAACATCTTTCTGGTATTCTCTGCTTTCAGCCAAGATCCATCTAACATGAGCCAGTAATTAAATTCTTCTTACCATAGCCTCTTCTGAATCCTACTTAAATTTCTGATGTTTCCTTATTCATGTATGGCTGTTTTTAAATAAACATTAGCAAGATTTTGCTTGCTTGCGGTATCAGTGATATTATTCAGTAATTTTCAGTCAGTAAAAATAAACATAAATTGGTAGAAATCCTCAATTTCTTCATATAGTGCCCAGTGCATATATTTGAATAATAGTTGAATTAACAGATCTTCTTATATGCCTATGGATAATATCCTGACATTCACAGCTGTATACTTCAGGCTATATCATGAAATGTTTGTTGCTGGTTTGCAGGGCTTTTGTTTTGTTTTTAAACAATAAATGCAGGGCCATCCCTCTTTAATTTGTGATTTCAGGTACACCTGATCATATTGATTGCCTCAATCAGAATGGCAAATATCAGCGACTATTTCAGATCACTAATGCCTAGGATATCAGTATTTTTCATTCAATTTAATTTTGACACCTTCCAGTTTTTCTGTCATCCTTTGCATGTTTCATGTTCCAGTTATTAATGGATATTTGAGTCTTGCCACATCAGCAAACAGAAGGGCTTTACTTAGATGACAGCTTTACTTTGTCCAGGTCATTAAGGTATAAATAACAACTACTACTCTGACGATGCTGCTCTTCTCCAGTTTCCTTATCAGTACCTTCCAGTATCAGGGCCTCATGTTCCAGCACTATTTTTCACCATATTCCTTATTGTTCATAGAATTTTGAGTGGCTGTTCATTTTGACAGTGATTGACTAGGCCTGCAGTGGCCGAGCTTCCAGTATAAAGTTGCATGCCAGCCACTACAGTAGAGCAAACTGATGACACAAGTGGTTGAGAATAGATCACAGAAGGAGGCAAAGAAGGAGTGCTTGAAATTATACCCAGGCACCCTATCAAAAAAAGATTGTAATTTAAGACAAAAATGAAAGGTTTGTAGTACCAAGTCAGTTGTCACAGTGACCTACAAGTCATTTTTAGCTTCTTCAAACAAAATCTTGGCCCTTCTTACCTCATATAGTATCCACTGAGACAACTCCACAGACCTTTGACTTAGATTGAAAGCAAAGGCTTATCTTCAAATGTAGTCTTTCTCTGCTGATTTAGTAATTTGTTCAGCACCCCTTCTCTTTACACACAACTCTTATCTGTTTATGCTTTCTGAAGTCTTTCACAACTCTCCTTCAATGTTAATTTAAATGTGTAGGAGATACACTGTTGCTGTGTCATCTGTGATTCATAGTGCCTGTATGAACCCTGCCTTGTCCTGAGCCAGTCTAACTGACTCTGACACACCTAATCCCATTGCCTCGGTTAATTGTGTCAATCCATGTCATCTGGAATCTTTCTCTCCTGTGCTGTCCCCTCCACCCTTCAAGCATGATGTCCTTCTCCAAGGACTGGTCCCTCCTGGCCACGTGCCCAAAGTATGTCTGACAGAGCTTCAAAATTCTTGCCCCCATGGAGACTTGGTTTCATCCTCTCCAACACAGACCTATGTGTTCTCCTGGCGGCCCATGGTATGTTCCGTACTCTTCCCTAGCACTACAACTTAAATTGTCCAGATCTCTGGTGCATTAGCATGTAATTGTGAAGAACATGGCCTGTATCAGGTGCGCTTTAGTCTCTAGACTGACATCTTTGCTTCTCAGCACTCTGGACAGGTTCCTGACAACAGAATTGCCCAGTGCAATTTGTCTTTTGATATCCTGACTGCTGGTGCCAAAAGTGTTGATTGTGGAGCTGAGTCAGATGAAATTGTTGACAAGCTCAGTCTCTTCTCCATACATCATGGTGCTGCCAAATGATTCCGGGGTGAGAATCTTTGTCTTCTTGATGTTGAGCTTCAATCTATATTGAAGACTACAGTCCTTGACCTTCTGTAGCAAATGCTTGAGGTTCTCCTCAGGCAAACAAGGTTGTATCATCTGCATAAGGCAGGTTGTTGATGAGTCTTCCTCTAGTCCTAATGCCACATTCCTCTTCATAGTGTCCAGCCTCTTGAATGATCTGTTTTTCATACAGATTGAAAAAGTAGGGAGACAAGATGCCTTCCTGATGCACTCCATTCCTACTTTTGAACCATGTAGTGTTTCCTTGCTCTGTTCTAATGACTGCCTCCTGGTCCAAGTATAGGTTTCACAGCACAATCAATGTTCTGGAATTTCCATTCTCAAGGTTAGCCACGATTTGTTGTAATCTACACAGTCAAATGCCTTTGCATAGTCAATGAAGCACAGATGAGCCAAGATCCATCTGACATTGGCAATAATATCTTTAGTGCCACAGCCTCCTCTAAATCCAGCTTGTATTTTTGGTAGTTCTCTGTTAATGTACTGTTCCTGTTGTTTGTGGATAATCTTCAGCAACATTTGTTTGCATGTGATGAGTGATATTGTATAATAATTTCCACACTTTTGTCGAATCACTTTTTTGGGGATAGGAATAAATATGGATCTCGTCCAGTTAGTTGGCCATGTAGTTGTCCTCCAGATTTCTTGGCACAACCTGGTGAGCATGTCCATAGTAGCAGCTGTTTGTTGAAATCTATCAATTGATATGCTGTCAATTCCTGGGTCTTTTTTGCAAGTTACTTCAGAAGAACTTGAACTTTCTCCTTCATCACCATTGCTTCTTCATAATATGTTGTTTCATGAAAATCTTCTATGTCTGCCAGTTCTTTTTGGTACAGTGACTGTATATTTCTTCCATTTTCTTTTAATGTTTCCTAGGTCATTTTATAATCTGCCTGTAACATCTTTAAGTATTGCAACTTGTAGCTTGAATTTGTTCTTTAGTTCCTTCAGCTTAAGAAATGCTGAATGAGGTCAGCACTTTTAATTTTCAGACTCCAGCTTTTTGCACATTTTATTATAATATTTTGGTTTGTCTTCCCATGTTGCCTTTTGAAATCTTCTGTTCAGCTCCTTAATCTCTTGATTTCTTCCCTTTGCTTTGGCTTGTCAGCACCCTAGGTCAATATTCAGATTTTCCTTTGACATCCTTCTAGATCTATTCTTCCTCCTCTGTCTTTATACTTTATAATGACCTTTTTCATTCTTCATCGATTATATTCCTTTTTTAAAAAAAAAAATTGCTTTGCTTAAAAAGTTAGTATACATTGTGTCTCACACTATTCCTCATTCATATTATGTTTCATACAATCATGCATTATGTTTTATGAAGTTAATCACCATTGGATCTTACCCATCATTACCCTGTCTTTTCACCTGGACTCTTTCTCCTCTCCTCTACCCATTAAATTGTGCAACCATGAATGATACTCTTGATATCCTCCCACAGCTCATCTTATGTTCATTCATTAGTGCTCAAACTTGTTCCTAAATTGGTTTTGAAATTTAGGTTGGATAGGCTTAAGGTCAAATTTTGTTTCCTGTGCATTTGATTTAACCTTCTTTAGCTCTAGTTTGAGCTTACATATGAGTAGTTGATGGTCTGTTCCACAGTCAGCACCTGGCCTAGTTTTCACCACTGATACTGAGCTTCTCCAGAGATCCTTTTCATAGATGTAATCAATCTGATGATTCCTTTGCATACTATCAGCAATAACAAGAGGAGATTTATTAAGTGAAATATCTGTCAATCATAAGAGTTTAGAGTAGGAGTAGGTAAGAAAACCCTTTAAAACAAGATACAGAGATGGTACCTGGTAAAGAGGTTAGCAGGGAAAGGAAAATTGGACAACTGTGAAAGGAGAAAAAATACAAAGAAGAATTAAGCAAGAAGAGTCTCAGACTGTACATCAATTTAAAAAAAAATTTATATTGGTTTGCTTGCAAAGTTCATATATATATTGTCTTTCACACTATTCTTCATTTATGTTGTTTCATACAATCATTCCCATGCATTGTATTTTATGAAATCATTCATCTTGGACCTTGCCCATCATCATCCAATTTTTTCAGGTCCCCGCTGAATCCTTCCCATTTCCTTCACCTTCTCCCTCCACACACCAAACTGTTCAACTCTGGTTTTGCTTCTACCACCCATCCTTATCCCTCCTTCTTCCCCATACATGTTTTACTAGTTAACTTTCTATTTTTATGAATTATTTGTGCTTATGAGACTGAGTTAGCTCACTCAGCATAATGTTCTTCAGACTCTCTCAGGTACTAGTTTTCAAAATCATTACTCTTGTGTGCTGCATAGTATTCCATTTTGTGAATGTACCACAATTCAATTGTAGTTGGGCATTTGGGCTATTTCCATGATCTCACAATGGTGAATAATGCTGCTGTCAACATTAGTGTACAGATCTCCTTTTGTGTCTCATTTCTAATTTCCTTGTGGTATATTCCTAGTAGTGGAATAGCTGGGTCATACGAAGTTTCTGTGTTCAACTTTTTAAGGAAATGCCAAACTGTCTTCCAGAGTGGTTGTACCATTTTACAAATTTTTGTCATACTGGTGGTGCTTCCTCAAACATCAGGTTGTCAGAATCCCCACACCTACCTGACTGAATCTATTCAATATTTCCACTGTTCTCAGCTACTGGCATAGGCAATCTGGGGGAAGCATGGCCTCAGTATGAATGTCATGTGTTCCAAGAAGTTGCAGCTGGGTTGGTAGTCCACCAGGCCCCTTGTTGCAGGCACTTATGAAGATGACCTGAACTTTTACAGATCTACCACATGCCCCAAGCACTTCATCACTCTGCTGTTTCTCTGTCTTTTAGATATCATATTTATTGTACATAATTTTGTTCCTAATGACGATGTTGATTTTGAGTGATTTCCCTTTCCTTCCCCCATCTCTTGTAGTTGGTACCATTCCTGAGCAAGTTAGTCAGTGCTGTTGTGGGCATCCTCAGGGCCATGAATCCAGGAGTAGAAATGCCTCAGGTAGGATATTAATAATCTTATGTATATATTAATAATCTTAACTTTATTTAAATAGATGAGTTGTATTTTTTAGTTTAGAAATATTTAATATACTATTTTCATGCAATATACCAAATATATTACAAAATTATTATTTAGAAAAATTACATAAATATGAAGTATTTCCTTACTAGACTCTTTTTTTATAATCTTGATCTAATATGTTTTAGCATATCATACATTTAATTGGATATCTTTTTTAGTGTATGATTCCCTTATGAAAATAAAACAGGAATTAAATAACATAAGTTGAATTTTGTTCCTTTTCATGCAGATGATGTTGATTCAATAGAAAAGTTTCATTATTTTGATTAATTGTATTCTTGGTGAAAGTATGTTTGGTTTATATATATGATGCATATATAAGCTTATAAATGTGTATGTGCATATCTGTTATTACACAAATACATCTGTTTGTGTGTTTGTATAATATATGTATTTATACTTACCTGCAAAAATATGTGTCGCTTTATAAGTCAAATTCTGTTACATGTGCATTTGAGAGATGAGTCTAGTAAAGGAATCTTGTGTTCTTTGGAAAATCATGCTCTTCTAACTTTACTTTTTTTATTTTGTATTTTCTTTAACATAAAGCGTAAGTCTTTTTCACCTGGTCATCACCTCTTGCCACTATTTGTATTTCTATAAAGGGCAGAAAAGTTTTCTAAAGTTAAATATCAAGTTTAGGATGAGATTAAGCCAAGCATTACCAGTGGCAAAATTCCTATTGGATTCTCTATTAGAAAGATGATGGTTAGATCACTAAAAATATTGGAATGTCTTAACTTTCTTGGTAATAATCTGACTCTGACTTTCTTTATGTTCCAAATATTTTGCATCTGGAATACAAGGCTAAGAAGTTTATCCTGGGAAAGGGAGATTTTTGTCTCTCAGGTTTTTTATGGTATCTCTTGAGAAAAGAATATCTGTGAACAGGTTTTCTTTGTAGAGAACATGAACACTTCAGGTTTTATGTCATTAATGAAACTGGCAAAACAAGTAAAAGCTCCTAACAGATTAAGCACATGGAGTCTTGGAAAAGTATGCTATTATCCTAATGTAATAACTTGACCCAAGACTCCATGTGCTAATAGAGTAATGTGCTAATAGAGTAAGCACACGTGGTTTTGTATGTTTGAGTAAGATGTATTCCAGATTAGTTTGTCAGTTTCTGTTAGTTATTATGTGAAAAAAAGAAATTAATTACATGATCTCTCCATGCATATTTTTTAATAGAGGAAATCATCCTATGACTAAGTTGTTCTCTTTGGTGCTAATCAGACCTTAAAGTAATCTGAGTTATTTATCAGCATGAAATTCTTTAATGATAAGAAGACAATGTACCTATCATTGTTTTGTAAGAGATGCTAAAGAATGATCTCTTGCCACATAAACATTTTTTTTAGAATACTTCATGAAAAACAAGACATTCATCAGAATGATCATTTTTAAAAATTGTCCTTTTAATTCTTGAGGTATTGCCCTGTAATTTTTCAATTTGAGTTAATACTGCATTCATTTTCTTGGTAGGTTCTCCAGTGCTACAGGCTCAGTCACCACAGTCTGTCTTACTGGGTGCTCGACTGCAGAGCACCCCCACCCTTACCGACATCTATCAGAACAAGCAGAAGCTGAGAAAGCAGTACTCTGATCCTGTGTGCCCTTCTCATACTGGGGTTGGTTACAGCTACTCCCCTCAACCCAGTCGGCCTGGCAACCTGGGAGCCTCTCCCACCAAGCACATGGGATCCTCTCCACGAAATTCTGACTGGTTCTTTAAAACTCCTTTACCAACTATTATTGGCTCTCCTACTAAGGTGTGTTGGTTAAACCCTTTTGTAGGTCATGAACTAGTATAGAAAGGATTATGGAAAGGATTCATGATGAAAATAACTTTTAATTCAGTAACACTTTGCTGTGTCCCATCCACAATGTAAGATCTGAATTTACTGAGTGCTTTATGTTGCATTATCCCATTTAATCCTCGACATGGCATTCACAGTGGGCACTGCTATTGCCGCCATTAAGTGGAAAAGAAAATTGAGATTTAGAGACCACAAATGCGCTGTCAGAGGTCACATGGGCTCTATATAGCAGAGCCAATATTTGGATTCAGGTCTGACTCCAAAGTCTCTATTCCTGACTCCTACGCCCAATAGCATGGCAAGTCTGTGTATTTCTTGCATAATATTAACTATTTCACATATTTTCTTAGACTTCAGCTCCTTTAAGAATCCCTAAAACACAAGCATCTTCCAACTTGGTAGCTTTGATCACTCATCAGGGACCAGGAGAAGGGCAGTCTAGAGATGGAAATGACCCACTGGAATGCTTGCACTGTGTCTCAGTACAAGGAGCTGAGAAGCAGAGGGCAGGCCAGAAGAAAAAGGCAGTGTTTGGCAGGTAAGAGTCTGGCTAACTGTAAATATAAAAGCATGTATCACAGAAACAGTGAATCAAATTAGTTTAGTCATTAGCTTATGGCTGACGGTTTATGGTAGGAACTATATATTACAGAATAACCGCAGGTGCATGCTATAGCTCTGTAATGTAGGGATTTTCTTTC